AAACTCAACAGACTTAGACAAAAACAATGACGGGAATAAAGATTTGAGTAAACTAAATGGAGGATGACCTAAACGCTTATGATGCAGCCAAATTAAAGAATCAGCAGTTGATTGACCATGAGACATGAATGTGTGATCTATTACTTTATTTGCGGGAGATTGTGACACCAGATAGTACAGCCCACCTTGCTCTTTAGCACTACCAATCGTCTTCCCTGTGGCAAGATCCTGAAAAACACAATGGGTAGGGAAGAAGGTTACAGTACAATTCAAATCTTTTGTAATTTTGTGAATAGAAAGAAGATTCGTGGAGAGTTTAGGAACATGAAGAACATCCTTAAGATGTAAGGACTGCTGTAAGTTTATGTCACCAGAACCCGCAACTGATGTATGTGAGCCATCAGCTATGGATATTGTATGAGTTCCAATGGTAGGATGATAAGAAATAAAGGAGTCAGCACAACAAGCCATATGATCAGTAGCACCAGAATCAACAACCCAAGAATGTTTAAAATCATTACATGAAGAAATGAAAGAATGAGTTTTGGAGCTCATACCAGTCATAGCCAAAGCACTAGTATCAGATGGCTTACTCAGATAATCAAGAATGGTTCGGAGTCGTTCCAACTCATCTGGACGAAATGCAGATTGGGTCTCATTAGGTGCAGGGGTTATTTCAGAAGAAGTAAAATGCGCTTGACCACGCATATAATAGCCCATCTTAATTAATTAGTAAATCAAGTGTAATTAATTAATTAAACATGTTTTAGTGAGTGAAATTAAGTATAAGGCTTAATTAAATGAATCTGAGTCACTTTGGACTTAAAAAGTGTACTCAGTGAAAATTAAGGGGTATAAATGGGTACTGGCAAAAGTACCCAAAATATAAAAAATAAAAATAGTAATATTCCTAGAATAATATTCCAGACTTTTGGGTAAAGTTTGGTAATTATTGGAGTTGAATAGATAGATGAACCAATACCCGCTTAAAGCCACTTAACCAATGTTAAGTGACTAAAAGCCAAAAGATGAACCCCAAACCCCCACTTTCCCGTCGACAGAAACAGAGAAGAAAGGAAGAAGAAGGAGAAGGGAGAAAAGGGAGAGAGAGAGAAAGAGAGAGAGGAGGGAGCAAATCCCAACGGTTTTGGGTGATTCAAAAGCCTAAATCGCTTAGAATCTCGCCCTCTTTCATAATCCTAGCTTTGTTTTGAGTGGGGAGCATTGTGGAGAGAGATATTACCTCTCAAAAATTCGGCCCTTTGGTGAAAATTGGGGTTTTGAGAGTTTCTACCTCCATTGAAGCTTGAGGAGCCATCAATCCTTGGTTGTGTGACCATTGGTGGTAAGATTCTAACCCTTGAACCTCATGATTCCTTGAAATTTGCATGAGTTAGGGTTTGTGAATAGTAAATTGGGATTTTTATGAAATGTAGTTGAATTAGCTATGTTCTAGGAAGAATGGAGCTTAGAGCATGTTATGGAAAATGCTAGGAATGTCATTTAATCGGTGGAAATGAGCCTAGATAGTCATTTGATAATTGTTCATAATATTAGGAAATTCATGCTTGGATTGGTTAGTATTCTAGCATGTTGAACAATTAGTTAGTTGAATGATTGATTGGATCCTTGTGATGTCTAGGATTGAGACATTTGGACCAACCGTGAGTGATCAACCATTGGAGCAAGCTATGGAGCTTGAATAGCTCATTGGAATTGGTAAGCTCATACTTGTGTTGTGCTTTGAATTGAGTAATTGATGGTTGATTGTGAAATACTCTTGGATGCAATGTGTTGATTGCATTACACCATGTGTAGGTGTATGTTTGTAAAAGTTGATTGCTGAAACTGTTGGTGAAGAACAAAGGTTGACTGAAGCATTGAGGTAAGCCTTCGGACCTTGGGTGTAATTCCCTTGACTGTTCTACCAAGCCCTGAAAGGGTAGAGGTTGTGATTGTGTATATAAATGCAATAAAATAGTGTAATGCTTTGTTATACGTATGTGTATGCATTTGGTGTGGCATAGGATGGTGTTTCCCTATGTTGGTATGTTGCATGACGATGCGTAAATCATACTTGGTAGTTAGCTGGCCAGTAGGACTATTTGCATCTGAGTTTCCTTAGGACAGCTTGAGAGCTCGAGGGATTTCTCCTGGAGATGTATTGCACTTTGCATAGATATGTATTTACTGCATTATTATTGTTATTGCTATTACACTGATATGGAACTGTGGGGTGGAGAGATGCTCCAAGGACCCCTGGTTTACTGGATATATTCGTATATCTCACCCCGTGTTGTGGGGACCCCCTTTCAGGTAAGGATGCTGCAGGAGCCTCTGGTGGCAAGTGGCCATATCTGGATTATGCATGAAATATGGCATTTCTTTGAGTTTATGCATGCCTTTTGTAGTTGACATGTATAGGATTTTATTTTGAAAGCCCATGGTCATTTGTATATCTTGATTCATTGGATGAACTTAGCCTATGCTCATGCCTTTGGTTACACCTTTTGTTGATGGGAGCCAAGGGAATGATCATAGTGTTTTGTAAGCTAAGTTCTATGATTTGTAAAGGATATGTAATGTAAATGATGCCTACTTGAAATTCAATATATGCATGCTTGTTATGTATTGAGTTGTTGAATTGGTTGGGCTGAAAATCAATTAGGTACCCTTTTGTTTAAACTGGTAAACGATGAGAAAACAAAGGTCATGTTGCCCAAATTCTAGCTAAATCTCATGAGGAGAGGTTGGATGAGTGCTAGGATTTAGTTTTGGGGCATGGACAATTGGGGTTTGTAATGGGGATGCATTTCCCCCTAGGTTTGGACTTGAGAAATGTGGGAATTGGAATTCCCTGGCAGCGCGCTTAAGCGCCCAGGAGCGCGCCCAAGCGCCCTGCTGCCCCTGCGAGTGCAAATGCATTCTGCCTCCTCGCGCTGGAGCGCCCAAGTGGGGGCTTAAGCGCCCAGGATTGCGCGCTGGAGCGCCCTGGCGTGCGCTTAAGCGCCCTTTGCTGCAGAAAGTTGGGTGGCTTACTGCCCCCTCGTGTTTTAGCGCCCAGGGTGGGGCTTAAGCGCCCAGGGTTGCGCGCTTGAGCGCCCTGGTCCGCGCTTAAGCGCCCTTCGCCACTGAAGGAGGAGATGCTTCTGTCTCTGCGCGCTAAAACGTCCCCGTGGGAGCTTGAGCGCCCAGGATAGCGCGCCTGAGCGCCCTGTTGCGCGCTTAAGCGCCCATCCACACTGGAATGCCTGATGCTTACTGCCTCCGTGCGCTTAAGCGCCCAGATGGAGGCTTTAGCGCCCGATAGCGCGCGCTTGAGCGCCCGGTAGCGCGCTGAAGCGCGCGGGGCCTGTGACCAACACTCTCTTGTGTTGCTTCAAATGGTCCTAACTTGGGCTACAGTGCTCCGATTTGAGCACGGTTTGAAGCCACAGGTAGCTAATGAAGAAACCTACAATATAGTAGAAGTATTGAACTAAACAAGAAGTAAATTAATGGTTTAAAAATGGGAAATGAACATGATGTTAAGCTTAATTTATCTGTTTCCGCAAGGTAATATGGTTATGATCACGAAATTGGGTATTATAAGTTCGGTACGTTTTAAAATGAAAAATTTATCCGGATTTTAATTGAACCCATGTGATTGTAACTGCGCTTAATATCATAATGTGATGTCAACAAACCGGTTCTAGAACGGGGTGTTACAACGCATCCTTGCCATCTTTTCTAAGACAGTTTGCTTTCCATAAAGGCGAAAGCATAAATCCTTGATATGACCTGTTCTTTTACAATAAGAACACCATCGATCATTTCTCTTAGGTCTAGAAGAGGTACCATCATAAAATTTTGAAAAAGAACTCCTTTGAGAAGAGGCCATACTGCACAGCAAATGGTCAAAGAGAAGCTCCAAGAAGCCACAAAATCACAAACAAATACTAAACAACGTCAGATCTGACCGGAACAGTAACACAGCGGCCGAAACAGTAACACAGTGACCGGAACAAATACCGGAACAAATACCAAACAACGTCAGATCTGGTCGGAGGCAAGAAATTGGTGAAAGAACAAACTCCAAGAAGCCAAGAAATTCTGAAAAAAATACCAAACGATGTCCGATCAAAGTAGAGAGCACAGATCCAGAACCGGCTTGGAGAGACGATCAGAACCGTGGTGGTCCGCGGCCGAGAACCACCGTCACGCGCTGTCACGCGCCGGTGAAGTTGGCGGCGCGTGGGATTCACGCGCAGAGACAAGGGCGGCGCGTGGAGGCGCGTCTGACCTCCGATGGTGCTGGGTTTTTCAGGCGAAGGTCGTCCGGCGAGCGCGATGGTTTCTGTGGCTGTTCGGAGTGAAGAATCCACCGGAAAAAGGTTACAATCGCGATGAACAGGTTCTGTACGGTGGTTCTGTACGTTGATTCTGTGAACGTTTGTTTCTGGTTGTGTAATAGACAAGAAAAAGAAAGAGGAACAGTGAAGCAATGGTCTTCTCGGTCCAAGAGGTCCCCGGAAAAAATTTCCGGTGGCGGCTGATGGCAGCGAGAGACGTGAAAAAGAATAGAAAGGTTTCGTAGGCGCGGAAGCAGAGCCCTCTGGATCGAGAGCTCTGATACCAACTTGAAAAAGGGTATTATGATATATTTTAGAATTGTGAAATAATATGATACAAAGAGGTCTCTATTTATAGAGACCAAAAAACCCTAATTCTTGACCTAATGGGCTTGGCCCAATACAACAAATACTAATAATAATAAAAGACCTAATATTTACAACAGTCTCCCACTCTCTCCTTCAAACTTCTGATGAGCTGAGGAACGTATTACAGGTTCCGTACTTCCCATTCCTAACATGTATTGGTACTTCGAGTGATGAGCGATTAAGATCAAATTTAACTTCTTGAGCTCTAACAATTGTATTTTTATGGTTTCGTTATGGATCACCAGAATATGATGTAACCCAAAGCCATAATTCTTTGTTTTTTGTATTTCTTTTCTGAAGTTTCATTGAAGAATCTTTTATCTATGGGAAGGAACCTGGAACTTGTTGAAGGAATTATCAACAGCCTGGTTACACGCTTGACTAGGCAGATGTGCTCCCTCTTGTCAGAAAATGGTATCACAAATTTGAGATTGATTATGACAATAAATGTTGTTTGTGAAGCTTCACCATTAAATGCTATCGTTTAATTCTTAATAATTGTAATTATTGACTTATGGTCTTTTCTTTTTGTACCCTGACTTACGGTCTTTTTGTTGCGTTTCCTTTCTCAAATTCGTATCTTTTAGGGTCTCAACACACTGACAGCAATGCACAATATTGTATTCAGCATTTGATCCGTAAACTTGGAAGCGAGCCCTATATTGGTCAGAGAGCAATACTTTCAGTTTGTCAAAGAATTTTGGTGCTGGCAGAACGTTTGCTTTTCTCTGATCCTTTTGATGATGCCTTTCCCGACATGCATGAATGTATGTTCATAATGTAAGTTATTTGCAAATGCATATTAGCATAATCTCCAGAATCATAAATCATAACGAATAGCTCAATACAGGTTTTCCAAAAGGAATAGTGTTTTTAAAGACATAACATTTATCTGATTTTCATTTGTGGATGTCAGGATCCAGCTTATCGAGTTCTTGGTGTCAGATCACTTATTAGAGTGGTCAAAAGCTGAAGATTTTGATAACAGTATGCTTCATACTTTTTGCCTGTGTTTATTTTTCTACATATGTTCTTCCTCAAAAGCAATTCCCTGTTATCTCGAGCCTTGATTTCTATGATCCACAACAAATAAAAGACTCTGTCACAACCAACTTTTTAATTTCTTAACTATTATATTACGTTTTTTTTATAATTCTCCTTCAATTTCTATCTTACCAACCAAATATTCATGTTAACCAATTTTAAGTGGTAACCAACTAACCATGATATTACAGTGATCTTTGAAGATTGGGTGACATCAGTTATCCAGGCAAGAAAAGCATTAGAACTCCTGGAAAGCAGAAATGGACTGTATGCGCTCTATATGGAACGAGTCACAGGTGAATTGGCAAAACAAGTTGCTGGAGTCTCATCGCTTCAGAAGCTTGAACCGGATATTTTTAATAGCCTGTTTAGCTAAACATTGATTCAATTGTAAGTAATATGCCGATTTATCGCCCATATAGGAAAAATTGCTATAGATTAAAATGAAAAAAGAGTGTAGTGCCTGTTAATGGTCCTTGAGTAAGATAGGCGTGCATTACTGCATGGATTTGCACTTGTACATAGATTCTTATATTAGTTTACGTTGCTTGCGGAACTATTGAGGTTAGGATAGGATGCAGTCGCACCAAAATGTTGAAGTGTACTTTCTGATTTGACGCCTTCACTATTGATCAGTATCAATATCAATATCAATTGCTCATTATTTTCCCTCTACTCTCGGTCATATGGTAAAACTTTAAAAAAGGGATGGTTGCAGAGTTTCTTCATTTTCCAGTCTGAGTCAACTTCTATTTATAGATATGGTTGACTAAGACCGGATATAATATCCTTAACTTAAGAATTTAGTTAATTACTTTTAATTAAGTAATTGAGTAAGTATAAGTGGGTAGAAATTTAGTAAGAGGGTAAAATTAATGAATTAAGGGTACTTTTGAGGTAAAAAGTGCAGTCAATAAGAATTCAGAGATAAAAAATAGGTAGATAAAAGTACCCAAAATATAATAGTAAAGTTAAAAATATTACTAGAAAAATATTCTAGACCATTTGGGTAAGTTTGGTGATGAGTGGAAGTGAATAGATAGATAAGTTTTTACCTGGTTAAAATCCATTTAACCTATGTAAGAGTAAAAACACAACAAAACCCTCTCATTTTCTTTCTTTTTCGACGGTGGCTAGGGAGAAAGGGAGAGAAGCCATTGGAGAGGGAGCTCAAACCGTAGCTTCTCCATCTCTCAACCAAATTCATCCGTTCCGAAGCCAAAATCGTAGAGAATCCTTCCCTCATTCTAAATCCTAGCTTAGTTTTGAGTGGGAAACATTGTGGAGAGAGATTTCTTCCTCCAAAGATTTCGACCCCTTGAAAATTGGAGGAGTTTGAGAGCTTTTCCTTCCATGGGTGCTTAGGAAACACCCATTCCATGGTTGTGTGATCCTTTGTGGTAAGTTTTCACACTCTTTCACATATTTCCTTGAGATTTTCATGAATTTAGGTTTTGATAAATAGTGTTTTATGGGTTTATGAGTTTGAGGGAGGCTTAGTACCTTTGTAAATGTTGCTAGGAATGATAAATAAACGGTAGAAATGAGTTTAGATTGTCATTTTAGTATAATTTGATATTAGAGAAAATTATGCTTGAAATTAAGGATCTTCTTGAATGGTAAGCCATTGTTTGGTTGTATGTTTGATGGTGTCCCTTGTATGACTAGGATTGAAGCAAGTGGACCAAGTGGAGTGACCAATCCTTGTGATTGTGTGGTTTTGAGGAAAGGAAATTTTTGAGGAAAGTTCAAGAGCAAGGTAAACCTTTGGACCTTGGGGTTGATCCTCTTGAATGTTCCACCATACTCCATTGAGGAGGAATGGTTTATGAGGTGTGATATGTAATGATGATAGTTGTTGTATGCTCATGCATTAAAAAATATTATGATTGCTTAATGATAATTGATGTTTGATTGTTTAAGAGTAATTGAGGAATGGTTGATAGAATTATGATGAGGATGATTGGTAGGAACTTCCCTTGGAAACAGCCCTATGTGGATCTCCATGTGGTTAGAGCCTAAGAGAAACAGCCCGTCGTGGATCTCTCTTGGAGGTTCCTAGATTGAGGATATGGACTTCCCTTGGAAACAACCCTATGTGGATCTCCATGTGGTGAGAGCCTAAGAGAAACATCTCGTTGTGGTTCTCTCTTGGAAGTCCATGTGATGTTAATGGATAAGAATGTGTTAAGATGTTATGATTATATGTACATCGGAAGTGAACCTTAGGGTGGAGTGATCTCTAAGGACCCCAGGTTTATTGTGATATATTCGTATATCTCACCCCGTGTTATGGGGCATCATTTCAGGTATTGATAGAGGTAAGGATGATCGAGGCAAGAAGCATGAGTAGATTGTACCTGATATATGGCATTTTGAGATTTCTTACATGTAGAAAACCTTATGTATAGGATATTTTGATGCATTAGTTGTATATGAATGCATATAGGACTTTGAAGTTGATCATTGATGTTGTTTAGCCATTGTGTGTAACACCCCGTTCTAGAACCGGTTTGTTAACATCGCATTATGATATTAAGCGCAGTTACAATCACATTGGCTCAATTAAAAATCCGGATAAATTTTTCTTTTTAAAACGACGCCGAATTTAAAATATCCAATTGTGTGATCATAACCATATTACTTTGCGGAATCAGATAAACCAAGCTTAACATCATGTTCTTATTCCATTTTTAAACCATTAATTTACTTCTTATTTATTTCCCAACTTCTACTATGTTGTAGATCTCTTCGTTAGCTACTCGTGGTTTCAAACCGCTCCTCATTTGGAGCCCTGTAGCTCAAGTTATGACAATTTTACTAACTTAGGTGTATGCTGAAAAACTACGCGGGCAGGGCGCTTAAGCGCGCTCCAGGGAGCTTAAGCGCCCACAGACAGAGGGAATTTACATTTTTAGCCACCAAGGGCGCTTAAGCTCGCTCCAGGGCGCTTAAGCGCGCTACCTGGGCGCTTAAGCCCCCATTTTGGGCGCTAAAGCCCCAGGCGGCAGAAAGCTTTTGGTCTTCACAGGTGCATCAGGGCGCTTAAGCCCCCTGAGCAGGCTTAAGCCTCTATTTGCAGGCTTAAGCCCCCTCTTCTGGGCAATTTCCTATACTCATATTTTTCATGTATCTTTCTTGGGGAATCAATCCTACACATTTTACAACCTATTTAACAAGCTTGTGATATCCCTATATCATTGCTTAACTCTCATCCTCTCATCATTGATTTAACGGAAATTGGGCAGCATAACCTTTGTTTTCTCAACGTTTCCCAACTTAGCACAAGGTACCTAATTGACTTTCCAGCTCAACATATCCAATACATAAAAATACATTCATGCATTTAACTTACAGTAATCATCATACACAAATATCTTCATTACTTACAATATTACATCATGTCTTAATTACAAATCTCATATACATGCCAAAGGACTTAGCTACAAAATGAACATGATCAAAGCAAGTAACCATGTATCAGATACCCATTACTACTACAATGATCATGCACTAAGTCCTCCAAAATACATCATATGACATCAAAATATACATATAGCAATGCTAAATGGCATGCAACTCAACATGTCCAGCTATCAGGTACAGTCTACTCATGCTTCTTGCCTCGATCAACCTCACCTCTATCAGTACCTGAAATGATGCCCCACAACACGGGGTGAGATATACGAATATATCACAGTAAACCAGAGGTCCTTGGAGATCACTCCACCCTAAGGTTCACTTTGATGTACACATAATCATAATAGCTTAACACATTCTTATCAGCAAGCATCACATGGACTTCCAAGAGAGATCCACTAAGGGCTGTTTCTCTTAGGCTCTTACCACATGGAGATCCACATAGGGCTGTTTCCAAGGGAAGTCCTTTCCTCAATCTATTCAAAGAGAGATCCTCAAAGGGTTGTTTCTCTTAGGCTCTTACCACATGGAGATCCACCTAGGGCTGTTTCCAAGGGAAGTCCTTTCCTCAATCTAGGAACCTCCAAGAGGGATCCACATAGGGCTGTTCCTCTTAGGCTCTAACCACATGGAGATCCACATAGGGCTGTTTCCAAGGGAAGTTCCTACCAATCATCCTCATCATAATACTATCACTCATAACCTCAATCACAATCCTCAACCATTACCTCATTCATTATTGCTACTTCTATAATCATTCCTCAATTACTCTTAAACAATCAAACATCAACCAATAATCATCAATCAATCATAACATGTATCAATGCATGAATCAATGCATGAGCATACAATCACTATCATAATTACATATCACATCTCATAAACCATTTCTCCTCAACGGAGTATGGTGGAACACTCAATGGGATCAACCACAAGGTCCAAAGGTTTACCTTGCTCTTTGAGCTTTCCTCAATTGCACACAACCCCAAGGGTTGGTCACTCCACTTGGTCCTCTTGCCTCAATCCTATCAACACAAGGAATACAATCAAACAATGCTAACAATGCAAGGAAATCCATAGTTCCAAGCCTAGATTTCTCCAAACATCAAAGCATACTAAAATAACACTATAAACTCATTTCTACCGATTAAATGTCATTCCTAGCATTTTTCACAACATACTCTAAGCCTCATTCTTCCTTGAACATAGCCAATCTACTCAACATTTCATAAAAACCCTAAAACACTATTCATTAACCCTAAACTCATGCAAATCTCCAAGAATCATGTGAAAGAGAGTGGAAACTTACCACCAATGATCACACAATAGAGGAATGAGTGTTCCTCAAGCTTCCATGGAGGTAGAAACTCCCAAAACCCCACACTTCTCAAAAGGGGCGAATCTTTGGGGACCAATATCTCTCTCCACAAGGACCCACTCAAAACCAAGCTAGGATTATGAAAGAGGGGAAGATTTAGAGTAGTTTAGGCTTTTGAATCACCCAAAACGGTTGGGATTTGCTCCCACTAGGTTTTCCCTCCTTCTTCCTCTCTTCTCCCTCTCTTCTATTCTCCTCCTTTCTGTTTGCTGTCGACGGGCAATGGGGGGGAAATGGGTTCTTCTTTGTTCTTTAGTCACTTAACATAGGTTAAGTGACTTTAAGCGGGTATTGGTTCGTCTATCTATTCAACTCCATTAATTACCAAACTTTACCCAAAAGTCTGGAATATTATTCTAGGAATATTACTATTTTTATTTTTATATTTTGGGTACTTTCGCCAGTACCCATTTATACTCCTTAATTTTCACTGAGTACACTTTTTAACTCTAAGTGACTCAGATTCATTTAATTAAGTCTTTTACTTAATTTTACTCACTAAAACATGCTTAATTATTTAATTAAAATTAATCAATTAAATGCTTAAGTTTGGGATATTATATTGTGCACCTATTTTGGGACTTTGATCACTTGCTATTTCTAAGTCTTTGGTATGTAATCCTTTTGAAGAACAATGATGCAATTGTATATTTGAATATGGATGTAATATGAATCATGTTTTATCCTTTAGATTGTAATAGGATTGTTGAATGTAGATATGATGGAAGGACATGGATGCCATTTGATAAATGTGTCTTAACATAATTAAGGATCATGTATAGAAGTGATGGTATGATGTCTATTAGGTGTTAAAAGAATGGTGAAAGAGAGGAAATCTCTCATGAAATTACATGAAAACAGGGGAGGACATGTTTTGCCCAGCTGGAGAGCGTTTTAGCGCTGAAATGAGCGCTAAAACGCGCTATGTTCGTGAAATGGAGGAAAAGTCTCTACCCTTGGGCTTTTTAACTTGCAAATGGGCGCTAAAACGCTCAAGTGGGCGTTTTAATGCGCAAGTTAAGTGCTAAAACGCGCTGAAGACCTGTAGAAGGCAAAATTCACTGCCTATGGGCGTTTTAACGCCCAGTTGGGCGCTAAAACGCGCTACCCGAAATCAGCAAAAATAACTCGAGCTACGGAGCTCCGATTTGAACCCACTCGAAGTTAATAAAGAGATCTACAACATAGTAGGAGATGAGAATTATAAAGGAAGTATAGAATTCATATAATATTAAAAGAGATGAAGACATTTAACCACGTGTGGTCTAATAAAAGAAGAATATGATGTTAAGCTTAGTTTATTTTATTCCGCAACGTCATATGGTTATGATCACGCAATTGGGTATTTTAAATTCAGTTCTGTTCAAAAAGAAAAATCTATCTGAATTTTTAATTGAACCAATGTGATTGTAACTGCGCTTAATATCATAATGCAATGTTAACAAACCGGTTCTAGAAGGGGGTGTTACACTGGAAAATGAAGAAACTCTGAAATCATCCCTTTTTCAAAGTTCTACATGCAGAGTCTGTGGTCGGATATGATATCTTGAATTATTTCTTGGCATGCCAACTAATTTCTACATTGAAGTAGACGCGAAAATATGTGATGATTAGTGAGATATTGCCTTCAATCTTAAAATATCCTTGACCATGATTCTAATTGGTATAATCGTAAAGGTGTTACACGTCGAATCTGGTTCAAGGAAAGATTCACTCATTTGTTGAACTTCGTTCTTGCTTCTTCTTCAAGATGGCTTTATTTAGGTAATGTGGACGAGGGTGAGATTTGGTGTTTAAATTACTTTGCAAACTTTGAAGTTATTACTAAACCAAAAACGTTAACATTTTTGAGGCATTGTGATGTCCACTCCTCAAACCACTATGTATCAACATATAAGCCTCGTATATGCTTCTTATTGTCTTCTGCTTGTAAATACAATTATGTGAATATTTTTTCTAATTTTCACCCGTCGGGTACTGTAGTTGGCACTTAGCAGAGGCGCGGTCACAATGGCTGCCAACTTCAGCTGATGAGGGAGCCGTAAATTCACGAACAAATAGAGTTCTTAGCCATCAACTTCTACAGAAGTGGCTATTGACTTTTGAGGTAGCGCAACCTCTTCACAGCACAAAGTTTATTCCTTACTCAACATTAAGGTGGATGGAAATAGCAACAAGTCAGCGATCTGGATCGGACTCCAATACTCTTACGGCTAACAGGTATTCCTTACTTTTAATCTCTTCTTGATCTTAGGTACAAAGAGGAAGAATATATCAATATTTTCTAGCTAGAAGATTTTGAAATCTGTAAAAAAATAATTATAACGCAGGGGTAAATTTGAACTGCAACGCCTACTGGATCATTACGTGAATAGGGGTCACCATTTTTGTAGTACATCATCTTCCCGACAAAAAGAATAAAAACTTTGTTTACCACCTGCTTAATCTTTGCCAAAAGGATGAAATCAAACTCCACTGAGCCGAAAGAGGGTCTCTTCAATTTTTTTGGTTTTGTGCATTTTCTAGATAAACTTATTTCAACGGAATCTTATCTTTAAACCTCATTCAAGGAACTTGCAACCAAATCACAAGAAAAAGCTCAGGGGACAGTCCAATGGTCTCTTTATCCCCTTCACATTTCCGTCACCACAGTTCTGAAAGAATACATTCTCAACCAATGTTCATTATTCATTATGCTCAGTTATTCCGTTTAACAGAAAGAATACCATAAACCAGATACGATGGTAAGTTGGCAAAATTATTAAATGAAATAAATAAAGCATCTGCATGTGTCTCATTCCCAGAAAGGAATCCATTCGAAGAGTGCAAATCCAGCCATTCGGGGTACTATAAGCATCTTCATTTAAAAAAAAAAAAAAACTTTTCTCTTAGCCCTTGATAAATTATTTCTGTTTGATATGCCGTAGCTGTCCCTGCCAGCAGTGAATTTCTGTGGGCTCCAACCTCATTATAATTAATAAACTTATAAACACAAATCCAAGTGCATCTCCACAAACTACTTTACTTTTTGGTATTGCCTTAACACCACTAATCCCTTGAAAATTTACAGTCAATCAAGTTCAAGAAATGAGCAAAACACAAGTTACATGGTTCTTTTTGTTGTTGAACATCCTCACTTATGCAGCATATGGAAGCACAAGCACTGCAGAAACCGGAGATTTCAGGAACTCCAAGCGACAAAAAGAGCATAAGCGTAACCAATTTTGAACTTCTCGTTTGCTAGTTTTTCTGTTTCTCTCTTGCAAATTCATATTATTTTCTTGTATCAAAATCACATCCAAATTGTACATTTTGATCACAAACAATCTCTCTCTTACATGCAGCAATGTACGGTATGACCACTGAATCAAGCCAACCAGGCATTCAAAGAACATTTCCAGGATTGCATGTTGCCAAACAAACAAGGATTTCACGGTTTGCAAGAGGGATTTATAGAGGACCGAGTAACATAAGGCCACACATTGTTCGTAGTGCAAACTCCTACTCAGTCAAACCTTCATCCTTATTCATGGCTGCACTCAAACATCTCGCTTTCGTATTGCTTTTTGTTCCTGTTCCTTGCCTATTTTGAATTAATGAGACCTGAACGTTCATCTTACACTTGTTTCTATTAGCTTGGTATCCAAAACATAATTTAAGCTTCAAGCTACCACTTATTTCCACTAAGGTACAACCGTATATAGGATTTGCTAGACATGTCTGAAATCTATCATCCGCTTAACGGGACATATCAAGACCTTTACAGTGTCTTAGTAGCCTACTTTTGATTTGTGTTATTATACACACGAACACTCCTGCATTTGGCTTGTATATTTCATCTATATTATAGAACTGCGTTTGTAAGCTTCCCTCTCTCCATGATTTGTATAAATAATGCAAAAGGCTTGGTACCTATATCCTTTCTTTGTCTAGAGATATACATCCATCACTTCATCTAGAAGGAAATCAGAATCACTGCTCACCTCAATGATCCTAGTTAATAACTCAACAAGTATCCATTCACTGATTACCAATTTAAGTTATAGGTGTAGATAAATTTTCTATAAGCATAAACATTGCAACTATGAGGGTTACTCTATTTAACAAAGTAAGAAAAAGGGAGAGAAAAAAAATTAATTAATTTAAGAGCTTAAATTCCTGAGACAATTTGTTTGAGGTAGAATGCTAAGAAAATTATATAAGAAGCAATGCAGCAGCCACAGAAGAAACAAATAATTAGAACATTATTAGGTAAATCCATTATGATTATTTATGAGAACTTCACTATACAAATACATTGCAGATACACGGAAGACAAAAACAACATAGAATAGGAATTACATAGACAAAGATCATAATTTCTATAAGATATATTGACTGTAAATCTGTAACAATAACCATAAAAACCTTAAATAAGATCTCCACAGACCAGTAGAAGGAAGACTGAGTGATGGATCACAGAGTTTACATCTTGGATTAATATTCTTATCAATGCTCAGATTCGGAAAACATCTGTTTGAAATCTCTCATCGTATAAATTCCAATGTCCATACCTTTCTGTGTGAAAGACAGACCTGGGAATGTAGAAATTTGGCTTTTTAATGTCTTTCAAGTGTGCCAAACTGGACGATGCATTTGCAATGTCTCGACTAGTTAAGTTCGCACATCCAGACAAATCCAAGAACTCAAGTTGAGGACACCCCTGACATATCGAATTGAGGCCTTTAGCTGATAACTTCAAGAACCTAATCTCAAGCGACTGTAGATGAGGCATAGAATTTGCAATGGCAGCAGCTTCAGATTCTCCGTCTTGTGGACAAGCATTTAGATACTCATTAGGAACAATCCCTACATGTTGGGAAGGATCAAGCCAATTCATGAGATTTCTCTTAAGAACCTTAAGATTGGGGCAATTTCTTCCAATCAGCACCAATGACTCATGGGTTATCTCATAAGAATAGCTGATATCCAATTCCCTAAGCTTTGGACACCCAAGAGCTATCCTAGAGATAGAATCATCAGTAACACGAGGGCAGCTTCTGATTGACAACACCTCAAGATTTGTGCATCTGAAATGCAGTTACATTATATTCAAAGCAACAAAAACAAACAACATAAGACAAAACAAGGTGAGGCTTCAGATATTGTTACATAAAATAAAAAGGCTAAATGTTCCAACGTTATATTCACAATAGACAGCAATAACCACCATATAACACTTTGCAGCCTGGAAATATTGCAATTACAGCAAACCCAATTCCAGAATCGACACCTTATTGAAAAATCATAGCATGCCCGATTTCAACTCTCAAATCTGAAATCCACTCGGAATGATTGAAAGCACCAAAATTTTTGGAGACCCAATTCTAAAAAAGAATCATGTATGCGATTCCTACCCTGGTTTCTGGAAATAAAAAACAAAAGAGACACATGGGTATTGAAATTTGCAAGAAAGTTTATACCTTTCGGCGACCAAAGCGAGGGAACGATCAGAGCAGTGTCGAATGCGGATCTGTGTGAGAGAGGAATGTGTCCATTGGACGACAGATCGAAGCATGGAATCGATCTTGATCTCGAAGTGTGGGGACCACAACCAAGGGGACTCAGGGAGCGAATCGAAGAGGGGATCGAGGTTGAAGACAGAGTGAAGAGAAGGGTCCTTGAAGGCGCTGAACCATGACTTGCAAACAAGCATGCTCCCTCGCCATCGATCCTCCAACGTCACGCGACTCAGAATGTTGATCAGGCACTCGCGAGTCAACTCGGCCCACTCTGACTCGGTTTCTTCTCCCTCTCTATCCATTTCCTGTTCCAACATTTACAACCTCTTCTGTTTCTTTTCGGATAGGATTGGAAATTGGAAGGAATCTGAGTCTCTCTTTTTGTATCAAAACGCATGCATTCACATTTTATATATTTTCAAAGGACAGTTATGTAAAAATTATTTATCATTTTAAATCATATAAAGTTATATCATTTTAAAAGAGATAGACACAAAATAAATTTTTTTATTTAAATTTTAAATTAAAAAAATCACCATCTTTCTCTCTCCAATGATTTCTATTTTCTGTGTCTATCTCTCTTAAGATGACATAACTTATGTCATTTTAAATGACAAACACCAAACCCATTTTTAAAAGGGAGTCATTCTACCTATTTTTTTGTTTATCTTTGTCTATCATTTTAAAAGACTATTAAATTATAATCTTAATTAATATTTATCTTTCTCTCTCCTTTTTATATTCTGATCTAACAGTTTTTTAGATTCTGATCTAAAAGATCGTTAGATTTGAATCTAAATTAACATTTATCTTTCTCTCTTCTCTTTAGGTTCTGATCTAACGGTCTTTAACATAGTAGTTAAAATCTGGATTTAAATCTTAAAATCCCGATTTTAACGATTTATTTTTGTTAAAACAATTTAAATTTCATTTAAAATCCTTTCCAATATAAAATCTCGATTTAGACATTTACTTAAGTCCCGATTTTAAGATTTAAATCCTGATTTTAACTATTGAAATGATGTTAAGCAAGTTAGAAAAATTGTTGAATATAACATTGCTGATGTTTCATCCGAAGATGAATGGATTGTGGAAAATGAAGGAACTCTATCTCATGATGAAAGTTTAGATGAAGACAATTTTGAATGATGTAGTTGAAGATCACGTGGAACAGAATGTCTTCGATGATAATAACTTAAATGATTTATTAGCTTAGACCCTTAGAGTGTGACAATTGTATACAAATGCATAAGGATGGTGGCAGGTAGTCTATTTTTCTTAATTTTTTTTATACATAAGCATATGTATATAAAAATTTAATTTTAGAGTGCAGGTAAAATCTACGATTTGTATTACGATTTTACGATTTAAGATTTTTTATTCCCTTTCCGATTTTAGGTAAAATCCCGATTTTGACTACCTTGGTCTTTAATAAAAAAATATCAACTATCATAAAAAAATATACCTATCACATAAAAACATAAAAGGTATGTCTGATATTCTCTAATATCTTTAAAGAGATATGTTATTCTGCCTACTCTTAATTTGTCTACCCCTCTCAACACTGTTAGATTATAATCTTATCCAACGGTGGAGATTTATGGGATAAAATAAATCCTTTTACTTTTTTTTTCTTTCTCCTCACTGCCTCTTTCTCTTTCTCTCTTTCCCCTTTCTCTTTATCGATGAAGACAGAGACAGAAAAGCACATACAATCGAAATCTCTTATGAGTTTGAATTGATTTTTTGTTCATATATATTTGTTATGACTCTGGTAAAAGAGTTCTCTTGAATGTGGTAAATGCCCAAGATGCCAATAGTATGACAGTTATTCGAATGCCAAATCCCTAGCTTTCTCTCTCTTAAATGGCGCTTCAGCAACAACCTGAGTACGAACGCAAGCGACTCGACAAGATTGCATGAGGATGAAATGAATGAATTAATTGAAGATCCATAATTAAATAGTAATGTGAATTCGACATATGTGATTAATTAGCAAACTCTAACAAAATTTGGAATAGTATCAAATACGATGGGTCAAAGAATCATTGGCGAAAGAGAAACACCTTTTAAATTTTGAATTCTGACTCTTTCCTTTATAAATTTCCAAAATTGATGGTCGTTCAAGGGGGTGGGACGAGAAAGAAAGGGTGGGAGGCAATGAAGAGAAAGAAAAGGGTAAAAGGATTTATTTTATTCCGCAAATCTCCACCGTTTGATGAGATTATAATCTAACGGTATTTAGAAGGGTAGGCAAATTAAGAGTAGGCAGAATAACTTATCCCTAAATAAAAATAGATAAAATAAAGTATTCCCAAAAGAAAATAGGATTAAAAGCTTTTTAATCTCTGCAAACCTACAATGCATGGACACGTTTTTTTTTAAAAAAATTTGCGTGTCAGACACCGACACGTTTCGACACGTGGTCAACATTTTGGGACACGCTGTAAACTTTTTCCAACACGCAGTCAACGCTCCGACAGGCATTCGACAAGTTTTTTTTAGGTCTAAATTTTATTTTATTAACTAAAAGTAAAAAATTAATTCATAAGTCAATTTTTTCTGTTATAAAATTTAACATAAAAAATTTACAAGGTATGAAAAATTACTTTTGCTTTATATTTATGTTATGGAATTCGAATATTTGATTGGTTATATTACTTATTATGAACTGTTTTATGTATTAAATATAAATTATATTATATATATTAAAAATATTATTTAATATCAAAATGTGTCTTAACGTGTCGAAATATGACTTTTTTAGAATTAACGTGTCGGCGTGTTGTATTGTGTCGTATCTCGTGTCGATGTCGGTGCAATATAGCTGCAAACACAAAAAATATCCCATCAATCCTTTTTAAAAAAAAAATAATAATAATGGGCCCATTTGCACGAGGTTAAAGTTTCTCTCATAAATTTTAACTTAAACGGAAAAATATTAGAACTAATGTAAATGAGATTTCTTTTTTCTTTTTTTGAAATAACGACATATTTATTTATTGTTTATCTCTTCATTCACTCTTTCTCTTTTTTTTTTTCTTTTTTTTGATAACATACTCTTTCTCTTTTATATATTAAAAAATAAAACTGAGTACAATATATGGGCTGGCCAATGTGGACTGAGCCAAATCACACACAGTTAAAGGATGAAGACTTTAGGTTAGGTGAAGTGCTTCGTGGGCTGATGATGTCTGCTTTGTGGTTAATTGATATTGAACTCCCTTGGCGCAATGGATCTGGTTGGAGCGGGTACCTGCAATGACACTCTGACGTTCAAGTCAGTATCAATGCTAGGCTTATGTTATACTCTTATTGGAATTAGATTATCATACTTGGGTGTGTACCCTTTGTTTATATAACAAGTCTTATGCCACCTTTGGTAGGCGGTATGCCTTCTGATTGGCTGTTCCTGGGCTGCAGACTTATCTATCCCAACTAGTGCCTTTCTGGCTATACCCTTATATGATGGGCTGCCTTCTTAGAGTGGTGGTAAGCTGAAGTTGTCTTTCATGTATTGGCTTATAACGCGGTGGATCTTAGTTTGTTATAGGATCCTTCCTTAGTTCTTAAGTCATATAAGGCGGTTTAGGCGCGATGAGACCATTGCGCCTTCGGTTCTTTATGCGCGATGTAGACATTGCGCATTTCATTAGGCCTGTATGTTTTTGGGCCTATTCTGAGCTTTAACCCTTTATGGGCCCATTTTAGTTTATCCATATCAAAAACTAATCATAAACAATGTAAATAATAATAGCAAGTTAGCAACTAATTATAAAAATGTTAGATGGTAGTTAGCTAAATAAAATAAAAAATGCCATATTGCAAAAACTTAAGTGACCAATGGTCAGTCTCAGTACTAATAAGAGCTTGCAAATTTTTTAAAGGAATAGAATATCTTTACTTATTCAAGACAAGACACTATAGCCAATACTAAGAGTGGACTCTGATGTAGTGATTGGAATGCTTAATATATCAGTAATCATCCTCTAAATCAAAGGCTATGATCACTCCAATATTTGAAAGCATGTAGGTTCAGGAGGAAACAGAGCTCATGCTAATGTGATCTGGTTTAGGAATTCAGGACACACCCACATCTTACAAATGCAATTTTTTTCCCCCCTTACATCCAACCAAAGTCCATGCAATCCATCCTTTTCTTAGTTATTGGTCTGGAAAGCTTTTAGTTCAGGGATATGGACTTTGAACCTAAATAACTATAAGCAAACATAAATAATAACAAAAAGTTAAAATATTCTGAAATTTTACTCTTTTCAAACATTTTGTCAACTAATAAAATTAAGTTATTATGAAATTTTGCTCATTTTCAAAAATTTGAATATATGATAATAAAATTTGGCAATGATCTACGGTGTAAATATTCCAAAATTTTCTTATTTAATCTCTCGTACTAAGATGTGTTATTTTTTTCTGTGATTTGAAACTTTATTATTCTTGACTACTTATATTTTATTACTTAATCACAGCCGAATTATATTGATTAATTTTGTTAATATTATCCTTAACTAATTATGTCCTATTTACTTGATAGCAAAAAGCTCTTATAATATCTCTTATTTTATTTTTTTAAAATTTCCAATTGAATAATCTTGTCTTCATTAATTTTGCTAACAGTATTAATTATATTTTAATTTATTTACTTGACTTTAGGTTCTTAATTTTTTTTCTTCTCTATTCTTTATGTGTTGACACGTGTTTTTTTTTTTAACATTCGTTCACTTTATTATCTTATATTAAATTATATTTTATTTACTTGATTTCTTCTTGCTTAATTTTTAGAATCGGTTGTGCTGCTCATTTTTTTCGTTTGATCAATTATAGTTTATCATCCTTGATTTTTTTTATAGTACTTGAATAATTTTAATTTTTTATCCGATTATTAAATATATTTTATGAAAAAAAATTATCATTTTAAAGAATATAACTTTGTGTCATTTTAAATGAAATGACCGTGTTTTGATATACATTTGTTTGTCTTTTATATTCTCTTTCCTTCTAATTTTGTGGAGGAGAGAGACAAAAAGGTATTATGGAGAAAGGAGAATGTAAAAAATAGTAAGTATTTTTTCTATATTTTATTTACTTAATTTATATGCAGTGACAGAGCCACTTTGGTGCCAACAGATGCCTTGGCACCAGCTCCCTTTCAGCAAATTTCACTCACTACCATGACTTCAGATAGGACAAGTAGCTGAAACCAACTACACCTTAACACAATGGCACTGACTAGTTTTCATTTAGTACCACGACTTCATGTATTACCACCATACATTCCTCCTTGATGCTCACACACGGATGTTTCTCCCTCTCTTCGCTCCTTCTTCAACCCCAAGCCTAAGATGGTAAGGTGTTTGACTAGTTGTGCTTCCTCATTTTTTTTAGGGATAATACACAAATTACAAATAAGAAGCACAAATGCAAAAAAAAAAAGGCACTCACTAAACAGAACAACTATTTCTTTTATTTTTTTCTCCAACATTTTCATTTTTTTAGGGGTAAAGACAACACACTTTTTCATTTTTTGAATTTTCCATTCTTTGTATCTGCTACTGCCGCTAGCGGTGTGCTTCTACTTTTGTGATTGCTAATAACCTTGTTTTTAAACTTTCTCTCTCAACTTTCACTGTTTTAATACTCCATGCAGAGGGGTGTTATTTTTATAGCCCACCACCACCCGTCATGGCCGCCTCCTTCTATGGTGACCGTTCTCCATTTCCAGTACCCACCATCCAATTGGGTATGTTTCAAACAAAGCAAACTGAAACAAACGCTTGAAAATCTTTTTTTTTTTTTTTTATGTAAGTCTCTCTTTTTCACTCCAAAAAGGAAACTTTTGGACTTCTCTCTGCGTTTGTCTCCAACTTTTGTGTTCTATGTACATGTTTTTTTGGTGTTAGGTTTGGTAGATTTGAAAAATCAGTAAAAAAAAAATCTGGGATTAATTTGTGTTCTGTGCACATGGTTAGCATCAGCTAAAAATTTGTTCCGGCTCCACCACTGTTTATATGCTCTCTTTTCAAATTTTTATGATTTTTTCTTACATAATTTCTTGTGTAGACATGCATTACATTCTTCATTTAGCCACTTTACGAGAGCAACAGGGATATATGTATATCTTTTACAAGGTTAGTATCCTATTATTTGGATTTCAAACCTTACGGGGATCCTAATAATATTCCTATTCCCATTCTTACCCCTGTATGAGTCTATACAAATATTCAAGCATCGGGATGTGAAGTAGACTCAATTTACTTCACAGATAATAGGTGGTAAGAGATGAGTTCGGACTATTTATAAGGTGAGTACATGATTGGAGTTTCTTCAGTGTTCAAAACAATAGAGTCAAGCTCCTCGGTCCATATGAGGATTAAATTGATCCACCACCATTTTGGGTAGTTCGAACTCCCAGGCAGTTTCCAAGACTTCATATATCAATTTGGGTAGTTTCCAAAAATTGATCATCATTTTTCGGATTATTCCACACTCATCGTAGGGATTACCATTAACAGTATGTCATGGTTTGTCTTTAAAACTTCTCTGTTAATTGATGTAATTACTCTGAATATATAATTTGTGACACTTGAAAGCTTTACTTTCAAATTTAAGAAAGCGTAGATTGCCAAGTTAAGAACCCCACGAAAATGGTAATACCTTCTACCGTTTTACTTCCCAAAAATTCTCTCATTAGGTAATACTCATCGAGCAACCTAAGAGATGAACTAGAAGGAGCTTGTACGTTTATCAAATTAGAATATTTCAAACTTGTGGATTAGCCTTTTACCTGTTTAATCATATTCTGTTAGGCTTCAAAAACTTTCCTACAATTACCTCCTATTACCAAAATACCAGTAGACACGATGCCAGGAACATTACTCTCTCTCTCTCTCAATCTGTATATGACAAAAGGTTTCATTTTCTATTAAAAAAAATCATAAAGGAATGGAATTGAGCAGCAATACAATGCTTCCAACACCATATATCGACTTGTATGTCAGGTTTACTATCATAACAGGAACATTATAACTTAGAAAGGGCCAATCCATAAAAACAAATCGACAAAAGCATAAACATAATGCTCTCCAGCAGAACTATGAGAATAATATCAAGCAGTATGGTAAAAACATATTAAAATTGACAGAGGGAAAGAGAAGCAAATATGTCTTTCTTTTTTATTTTCCACTTCTATTTTCTCAGGAAACATAGAAGAGGACCATAAAGGAGGAAAAACATGGGAAGCACGAAACCTGCCATGTAAAGATCAAACCCTAAATGCATCTATATTCTCGAAATAATCTCACCCTAATCTGCTGAATCAACACATTGATGATGATAAAACTTTAACGGGTGCGGGGAGCAAAAGGAAGGATTGACTATTATGAAAATCAGATATTCAAAAGCAACTGTGAGGAGTATTGAAACTCAGTTTCTTCCGCCAGGGTTTTTCCCCCTGGCACATATAATATTACCACAATGAATATAAAAATTCCAATTATACAATGGAGCCCATGTTGGCATGGCCTGTGCTTACTCTCACATGAACCATTTTTAGTAGAAAAACTAGTCAGTCATGCCAGATAAACCCCTGATTTTAAGATAGTGAAAACTGATTGAAAATTTTCAATGCATGGTTAGGTTCAAATCAACAAACCACCCTATGTAGTAATTCTTGGTTGAACCCATTGGGAATCTGGAATCCTTTCTTGATAATCCATTGAACCATCTTACCCCGTCCCTGACAATGCAACCACTATTGAGATACGTTCAACAAACAAAGAGAAGTATTTATATAAGCAAATCACCTTCTGATGGTAATAACAGTTGGTCCCAGCTCCAAGTGCACCAAAGAAAGTACGGGAATCAGAGAGAAAAGGGAGCAAAGTAAGGGTATTGTGGGAAATTGGGCACTGCAGTATTGAGGTAGAAAAGACAAAGGGGAAAAGAGAGCTGGAAATATAAATAATTTCTGAACGTTTGACTGTTTGAGAGGTTCAGAGCTCTCCCAGGTCCAACCAATCCCAGAATTTCAGATGCCCCTCACACTGACACCCTCCACTGCTAAAATGGGACCCACTTGGCTGACCTGAAGGAATGTGGTGAGTATTCTCTCCACTTAGGTTCTGAGTCTGACCTTTTGTAGCAGCCCAATGCCTTATGCTTTTAAAAATGTTGAGATATATAGTCCCACATTGATTGGATGGGCAACTAATATGGCCTTTATAAGGCCTTGGGCACTCCCACCCCTTGAGCTAGCTTTTGGGGTGGTGACCTCAAGGTTCTTAACATGGTATCAGAGCCTCACCGTCCCCCGCTGTAAAAAGTGGAATTAATAATAAAAAAAAAGCACAAGAAGGTAAACCAAAAATGGGCCTATGCAATTTTCACGCTTCTAGCCTAAATGGCTCTTGCGTGAGAGGGCGTGTTGAGATATATAGTCTCACATTGATTGGATGGGCAACTAATATGGCCTTTATAAGGCCTTGGGCACTCCCACCCCTTGAGCTAGCTTTTGGGGTGGTGACCTCAAGGTTCTTAACAAAAAAAGGATTGGGCCCTATTATATTGTTTTCAAAAAAAGGATTTAGGTTAAAACAGAGCTAAAAATGCAACAATCTACATCCGTTTTGTCTTTAAATTTCATGTTTCACTTGAAAGAGCCCAATCTTTGTTTTGAAAATCATTAGATAAGTTCAGTCACTAGTGCTTAATACATTTCAAGAACAAAGCTGAAGGTAATAAAATCCTGGTTATACTTTCTATCACATTATATATATTCAAACTAGTAATTAATATGACAGGGAAGAAACCAATATTAAAATATTCATTAGTAGTGTAATACTAAATTCAAAAGATCAACGAAGAGGTTTAGATCCTCCACAATATAAAAAGTCATTAAATACTTCTTCATATATTTAGACATTTCTGAGACCTAGACATTTCAAAGATCCACTAAGCCCCGTTCCACCTCAATCACCCACGGAAAGAGAAAAAGAGCAGAATAAAATTCAACTATCAAGAGATACCAGTTATAATTGATGTTCTCATGAAATTCGTTTGGAAAACCTACCACCATTCTCCCTAAACAAATAAATATGATATGCTAGTAAAAGTCTCCATTAAGGATGATGTGATATAAAATAAACTCACAAGCTAGGGGGTGTAAAGTAGGAAGGGTCATATGTAGAGATTTGCTATCAACGGGTAAGTTGTACCGAATCAAGGAACAACATGTATAAAGTCTCTTTAGTTTACAAACAAAACAGAAAAAAGTACATACTTTTTACCCATTTGATTCACTTTCAGCAGCCCCTAAAATATATTGTTTTAAATATTGATTTCAAAGTTCAAAATCCTCAATACTCCTTCCCAAAACTGAATATTCTAGATATTATCATATTTCTGGAGATTCAGATCTATGCGAAACCAAGAGCACAAACTAATGTCAAATAGAGAGCATAACAGAAGAATCCTGATTACATAAAAGTTGTTTAAGCTTCGAGAGAAAAAACAAGTAATCCTACTGTTATGAATCAAGTATCCCCAAAGCTTAAGTTGTTCAGTGAAAACACATAAATGATTTTATATCTAACATGCTCCATCACACAAGAGTCCTTAGAGCCAAGCATTGATAATAACAGGCCCACCCTATCTTGTGCTGAAATTTCACTTTATTTAAAAGAATGGAGGCAACAAGGGATCAAAATCTAAATCACATGGTCATAGGGACTTTGATACCATGTTATGAACCAAAAGCTTAAGTTTTTAAATGAAAACACATGAACGATTTTATATTAACATCTTTAACACCCACTAACTATCAATTTCAATAAGCATATAAACTTATTTTTAGTAGTTATGCAAATGCTCACTATCAAGCAAGCCATCCACATCACTTCTAGGCTTCTACTCTATCATCAATTAGATAAGATATCCATATTATCTTCTACAATATCAGTAACCACATTTTTTTCATAACATAAGAACGTGAATATAGCCATAGAATCAACAATCACATTATTACCAGATAACTGTCCAAAGGACCCGAATACTCTGAGTAACTGTTCTCAGCTCAAATGCTATCACATAAATTATGCAAATCACAAATTGACCAAGTCCAATCTCAATGAAAATTAAAAATAAGAATACAGTTCGAGTGGTGTCCACTGTATACTCAGGAGTAGGACACAAGGTATCACAAACACGATGAAAAGTGGGGGAAAACACACACAGTTACACTGTATGTGTTAGTACTGTTGGTAATACAGAGGACGTCTACATTCATCAAAGTACTGATCACGATCAACAAAGATAATGGCATAGAGAGCATAAATTATACCAGGAATATACCCTAGTATAGTAAGGAGCAAGCAGATGATGAATTCAACCTGCATAAATAATGCAATCACAGTCTCCGATTAGTAACAATCAAATTATAAGAATTTCCAATACAATTATACTGAAATCATACAACTTCAGATTGATAATTTTACTTTATGATCCTTATCCCCTTTTAGCCAAGAAAAAACTAATTTTATTTCACAGCCTTCATAGTTTGACTTTGTTCATTGTTTAACCACACAAACAATTAGACAGTTAAAACCTCGATCTGCTGAAAGCAGATTTGCAGTAGCTAAATCCAAAAAAAAAAAAAAAAGAGAGTAAAAGGGGACATACGCTGCAGCAACCATGGCGGAAGCAAACTCCGACCGGAGGGAGCAAGATCGCGATCATTATCTCACAGCATATTTCGCATCTACTCGGCATTTTTCACTCTGAGCTGCTACGAGTTTCACTTCAATCGATAGGATCGAACATGTGATCACGAAAACCCAAATATATATGTATATATATATCACAATAAAAAACTTTAGAGTTGTACAAAATAAAAATATTAAAATTTTATTTGATGAACTGATAATCACTCATTTAAATAGAATTCAAATAAAATAATAATTTCAAAATCAATCATTTTTCTCTACTTTTTTTATTTAAATATATGTTAAAATATTTTAATATGTGTTGGCAGTTGACTGATATACCTTGATTTGAGTAGAAGAATATTAGGTTTCACTAAAAATATTTCAATCATAAAGAATATTAGTTGACTCTTGTGTATATATAGGGCTTGATATTTTTGTTTTTAATGTAAAATTACAAGGATCACTAAATGAAAATTTTGAATTCACCTTTATTATAAGCTTAAGACCATGCAAATTTCTTCACATTTAGTCTTAAATTTGATTAAAAAAATCTCTTATTCATTTATTTGTAAGTGTAGATCCAACCACCACATCGGGCAAACTCTAATAAAAATGGACTTGATAGTAAAAATACTCAAAATCACACTAATGAGAGTACTGGTAAGAGCAATTCTTGCAGGCAACTTTTATTCTTCCATAATAGATTTATCATTACGTGAGGCTCGAAAATTGATTTATATTGAAAAATAATTAACTTTTTATATTTTACTTTTACAATTGCCTCACACAAGTGTTTTTTTCTGTAAAGGAGATAGAGGACCTTATACTATAAGGTATTCTTCTTCTTCAGCGATGGTGTTAAGTTTTTTTTTAAAGAATCTTCGTTTCTAACTTGCTCTTTCTCTCTGCATTTCTCTTTCTTCTCTTTTTCGCTCTATAGTGATTCAGAATATAAACATCTCTTATAAATTATAAATTAAGACACCATTAATTTAAGTCAGGTCCGTCATGCACCACAGATCCAACAAAATGTAACATTCTTTGAGCTTAGACCTTTTAAAGGATCTCTGTTATATATTTGTAAACCTGGCAAAGAACCATTCGAGTCAAGTTATCATTATATGGCTTAAATATATGAGAAATGATATTATCATATTATAAATACTACAGCATGTTTTATGTTTTCCTTGTTTAGGAAATAAAATATAAAAAATATGTTAGAATGTATACTTTTATTTATTATAAAAAACAAAGTGATATCAGGATACCAAAAAAAAAAAAATGATATAAGAACGATGTAAATATAAAATAGTGCGAAAATTTCATTTTATTGGATTTTATTAAATTTTAAAGAAGTTTGCATTTTATTAGATTTTAAAAAAGATTTGAGATATTTCGTATAATAAATGAATTTGGCTTTATCACATTAATGTTTATTAAATCTTGTGTTTCTAATATTCTGCAGCATAATTAATAATAAATTCTATCTTATCATGCCACGTGATGTAACGTAGTGAGACCAGCTACATAGCTGGTTTTGAGCCGGTTGGCCCAGCAGCATGTTCATGACTTGTTGTCGACAACGAAATTTTGTCCCCCACCACGTGTGGAAAAAACGATCCACTGCAATTAACAACGAGTCCTAAAATATTTGCATTTTGATTTATTTTTTTCCCTGAAACTTTGCATTTGTCATTTGAGTATTTAAAATGCAAAAAGGTATCATTTTGATTTTTGTTCTTAAAAATTATCGTAACAACTCATGATAAAAAATAGTAAATTAGTTTTTTTATTATATATATGATCTGAACAATTTCCATAAATATGAGTCATTTTTATATCAACTGACTGACCATGTGATCTCTTTCAGCATAAATATATTTAAATTGTCTTGAGTTGGAGCAGCTTTAATCTATGGGTTTTCAATGGAATAAGTTGAAATATATCTATAAAACACTTTGACGTTAAAGTCAGTTTTAATTCATACAAGTTTTATTATGTAGATGAAGAGATATAGCTTGATTTAACGTGTTGGTATTTATAACGGGAAGGTGACTAGTTTGGGAGATGATATTTCTTTATGCTGGGGAGGTTGGGGAGGCAAGTCCTTTATTGGCTGTTGTGGGTGACTATGATGAGGTTGCTAAGTTGGCAATGGTGAAGTTATAATTTGTTGTGATGTAGCTATGATTACAGTAACTTTTGTTGAATCAGACACTCAGAAACCTTGCTTAATAGTGAAAGCCTTCAACATTGGCCTTTATAATATTCGATTATAATATTCCATATCAATATTCAATGTCGTTATAAAAAGAAAAAAGAAAAGAAAAACTACTAAAATAATATTAATAAAAATAAAAATGATAACGGATGTGATATTTTTTTATAGATATATCATATGTCTTTTTTATGGGAGAAATCTTATTCAAATAAGGAACATTCAAAGTTGTGATATTTCAGCGTCATGCAAAGATATGCCCTGAAAATAATTTAAGGAAAAAAAAAAAAAAACTGACGCTTCTTTATCCCGTGAAGATATGTTCCTATTAATGGCTAAACAAAAACTAAAATCAATTTAAAGATGTTAAAATAAAGTATCCCTAAGAGGCAAATACTGAAATTGTAACATCTTACTTTCATGTTTATCAGTATATTCTATCATGTCGACACCATTTAAACAGGCTGTGAAACATGAGGAGAGAAACTACCCACAATGTCTTCTTTATGGCTTTTGGTTAAAGTTCATTCCGAATATATAGCGTTCGGATGTCGATTTTATCTCTCTTTTCTTTTCTTTTTTTGTCACTTTCACAAATACATTCTTTCTTTTTGGAATCTGTCTCGAACACCAAAGTTATATATATGGATTTATCATCTATTATTTAACATGACCACAAAAAGTTTCCTACACATGCAACATTTTGTGGGGCCCGCAACAAAAAAAAAAAAAAAACTTCGGCACGCAAAACGAATCTCTATAACATAACACAATCACTTTTCCTATAACATAACTCTTATAAAACCCTATATATATATATATATATATATATATATATATATATATATAGTGCTTATCGTTTCTTAAGCTGCTCGAGATAAGTTTATCTCCGGCTAATAAATCATAACTGTACAAAGATGAATGTGATAAAGGAAGAGAGAGAAAAGAGAATCATAACCATTCGGAGGTGAATCAATTAATATAAGGAAATAAATAAATAAAACGACGTAGTTTTTGGGTAGCCGAAGATTAAATTATCTCAAGCTGCTTGAGAAATATTTTTCCCATATATATATATATATATATATATATATATATATATATATATATATATATTAGGATCCTTTGACACCAGTGTCAAATTTAAAGTTTGACACCTCATCTGAGAGCCGTAGGATCAAAAAAGATCAACGACTCTGATTTCTAAGCATGTGATACCATTGATCTTTTTTTATCTAAGGCTCTTAGACGAGGTGTCAAACTTTAAATTTGACACCGGTCTCAAAGGATCCTACCTCTCTCTCTCTCTCTATATATATATATATATATATATATATATATATATATATATGGGCTTATCATTTCTCAAGCTACTTGAGATAACTTTAACTCCGGCTACTAAATCATAACCATACAAAAATGAATCAACGGTGATAAAGGAAGAGAGAGAAAAAAGAAATCATAACCATTCAAAGGTTAATCAATTAATATAAGGAAATAAATAAATAAAACGATGTAGTTTTGGGGAGACCAGAGATAAACTTAACTCAATCTGATTAAGAAATGTTTTTCCCTATATATATATATAGGAAAAAGTATTTCTACAGTCACTTTAGATAAGGTTGTCTACAACTACCCCTTTTTCACTAAGTACGACCGGTCGTACTTAGTTATAACAATAAAGCTGTTCTTTTTTTCTCTTTCCTCAAACATTGTCGGCTGACGTGGCGGAGAGAAAAAATGCAATTTTAATGTGCGACCGGTCGTACTTAGTGACAAAAGGTAGTTGTAGACAACTTTATCTAAAGTGGCTACAGAAATATTTTTCACACACACATATATATATATACTTACTACCAAAAAAGTTTACTACCTTTACAACAAACTTAATAACCATTGATTTGATTTTCGGCTATAATTTCTTGGATTTATTGAGAATTAATAATTAATTAATAAATGCGACCTAATAATTTCCAATAAATTATAACCGTTAGATTGCCGGAAATCAACGGTAATTAGGTTGGTTGTAAATGTGGTAATTTTTTTTGTGGTAAGTATATCCTTCCTTTATATATATATATATATATATAAGTAGGATAATTTGACACCAGTGTCAAATTTAAAGTTTGACACCTCATCTGAGAGCCATTAGATCAAAAAAGATCAATGGTATCACATGCTTACAAATCAGAGTCGATATTTTTTTATCTAACGACTCTCAAATGAGGTGTCAAACTTCAAATTTGACACCGGTGTTAAAGGATCCTACCTCTCTCTCACACACACACATGAGATAGGATGTTGACACCAAATTCTAACTGTTGATTTTTGTCAATAGACAATTGTAATTTATTTGGATTTATTAATTAATAAATTTGACCCAATAAATTATAACCGTCAAATCGGCAAAAATCAATGCTTAGGATTTGGTATCAAATTTTTTAGTTTGACATTCATATCAAAAATCTTGCCCATATATATAGATAGAAGGGTTATATTTACAAATTTTTTATTTACAAACTGCATTATGTACTCAGGAAAGAGTACGCTAGGTTACACTGTGTACTTCCCGAAGTACTCAGTATAATTTGCAAAAATTTATACTGCAAAAATTTTTAAAAAAAATATGTAAACGGATCCCTATATATATATATGAGCTTATCATTTCTCAAGCTGCTTGAGATAATTTTATCTCTGGCTACTAAATCATAACCATACAAAGATGGATCAATGGTAATAAAAGAAGAGAGAGAAAAAATGAATCATAACCATTCAAAGGTGAATCAATTAATATAAGAAAATAAATAAACAAAACGACGTAATTTTGGATGGCCGGAGATAAACTTATCTCAAGTTGCCGAATAAATATTTTTTTCCATATATATATATATATATATATATATCCAACATTGC